TGCTCTTCCAGCCGCCTGCTCCCAAGTGCAGCGTCTCCAAGCCCCTCATCCTCTCCAAGCTCAGTGAGTGAGGGGGCACCTTGTCCTGGAGCAAGACCTCCGCTAGTGCCACTGCCTACCCTCTTCACGGAGGACAGGGCCGTGAGCGGACAGAAGGGGGCGCCTGCACCCCATCAAACCCTCCTCCTCCCGAGAGGACTGACCAGCCCTGCTCACCACCCCACTCTGCACACAGTGGATAGCGAGTGAGGGGATGGAAGGGGAGGGGGGGTCCATGCCCCAGCAGACCCCAACTTCCTCCCGCGCAGATGGACTGACCAGGCCTGCCCACCGCCCGTCCCCAGGGCTTCCCACGTGGCCACTCACCGAAATGTCCAGCTCCAGCAGCAGGGCGGTTTTGACTGCGTCGTTGGCCGTAAGCTGCACCGCCTTAGAGATCGGGACATGGAAGACAGGACCCGCCGAGGTCACAGGGACCTGGCTCTCCTCCTAGAGAGAAACGCTGCATGTAACAAGGTACCACGTCCCACTGAACTCCCCACAGACAGACGTGCGGAGCCCCGCAAAGCTTCCTGGCCAGTCGGAGCCCCTCAGAGGCAGTGATGTCCACGACTGACCAAACAGTGACCAGGAAGGCCTGCGCAGGCCCAGACCTGGGTCACCTGAGGCTCCACGGGACTGCAGCCCAGGTCCTGCCGAGGTGGCCCTGCTTCTGCCTCTCTGCTCAGGATCCCAGGGGGACACCTCGGAAATACGGCTCCCCCCAACCTCCGGAACAGAGGGAGGGCCGAGTGGACACCTGGGGACAGCTACCCCGACCTCCAGAACAGAGAGGGAGGGCCGATGGACACCTGCGGACAGCACCCCTGACCTGCGCAGAGAGGGAGGGCCGAGTGGACACCTGGGGACAACTCCCCCTGACCTGCACAGAGAGGGAGGGCTGAGTGGACACCTGGGGACAGCACCCCCCGACCTCCGGATCAGAGGGAGGGCCGAGTGGACACCTGGGGACAGCTACCCCGACCTCCAGAACAGAGAGGGAGGGCCGATGGACACCTGCGGACGGCACCCCTGACCTGCACAGAGAGGGAGGGCCGAGTGGACACCTAGGGACAGCACCCCCCTGACCTGCACAGAGAGGGAGGGCCGAGTGGACACCTGGGGACA